GGCCTGAGGGTGAGTACATTTTCAGCAAATTTTCATTTTTGGGTGCACTATAGCTTTTAAAAAATCATTAATTACAAATTACATAATGGTTGAAATGAGACTCAGGAAATGTCACGACAATACAAGGCAATATAAAACTGATATGGTGAACAGGTCAAACCTGTTACTACTTCATGGATTTTCACCTATTTTACATATTATGCAGCTCTCTAGAATACTTGATTCTGGTCAATCAATTGCAGCATCCTGTAGTCCAATATTGTTGTAAAATGGCCACTAAAATGTATCACATCTATTTCTATTTCCTAAATAGTGCTAGTAATTAACTTCTTGTATCACTTTCACAAAAACAACTTTCTCTTTCATCTCAGTTAATAAAAAAAAATCTAATTAATATTTCTTGTCCATTGATTTATTTAGGTAAGTAGGTTGTGATCAGCTTATGCACTGTAAAGCACTGACCCTTAATAAAAATACATTTCTCTCACTCCAAGAAACTGTCTTGCTCATATTGCTTGTGTTTACAAAGATAATGTAATGGATAACTGTCATATAGTGAATTTATTTTTGTCAGATCAGTGTACTACGCTGCATATTGTAAGATACAGCTGACCGACCGAACATTAGATGCAAATAAGAGATCTTTAAAAAAACAAAATAGTCGGATAATCCTAAATAAGTCATATAACTGCAGTTGTATTGATGCTGAGACTCTCATATTCCTCTGAGTCATATTTTAGAGTCTGTTATAAGGATTCCTTTGTAGCAGCAGAGCATAAACATGTTTTTAGGAGACTGCTGAGTCACTGGTCAAATCCATTGCAGAATCGTGCTCCCCCTCCCTTCAACGGCTCTCCTCCTCACTCTCTCACTTTCTTCTTCTTTCTGGACTGTGTTCACTCCCTCCATCCCCCTCTCTCATTCCGATCTACACCCACCCGCTCCCGCCACAACTTTTTCTGTCTCTTTATCTCTGTCAGCACCTCCCCCCTGCCCAGTTTCCTCTCTATCTCTTGTTCTCTTTCACTCTCCTCTCTCTGGTTTAATTAAGGGGGAAATGAGTGCATGAGTGACGTGTCAGAGAGCAAGGTCTAGTCACAAAGAGATCTGATAATGCAACTACTAATTCTCTCCCACTGAAGGTGCAAAAACAGCAGCAGCAAAGTCAAATGCTACAGATGAAAAAAAAACTACTTCAAAGGCTTCAAAGATTCACAGAGCTTTTTTTAAAGCTTCACTTTAATCTCAACATTACAAAAAAAAGGCCAACTGAGAGGAAAAGAAATCTACAAGATCTGCTTTGTTTCAAGTTAGGTTAAATTTCATGATAAGCAACTGTCTTTAAACTGTCTGTGATGTTCACTATAAATATATTTTAAGAGAAAATAACTCAAGATTTGTTGGGAGCAACCTGTGTATTTAGTTATTTTCAGCATTACTCTGGTTGACAATCACAGATTCAGTTATTAATAATAATATTACTGATGCTTATTTTACTCAAATTTACCATTAAATCATCACAAAAAAATTATTGATTGTACTAATATTTTCTCACTCCACAACTAATAGCATATTTACTGAGATGATGAGAAAACGATGGCTATTAAAGGAGTATATCACATAAATCTAAAGTTATATATAGTTAACTGTGCATTAAACATTCAAAATATCTCATTAATCTTGATCTCGTTAATTTGCATGAAATATGCATGGTGGCATAAACTAACATAAAATTTTATTTGAATTAATTATGAACACTAAAAATATGCAATCTGAGTCTGACTACCTTATGATGCGTCACCCTAGACTTCTAGACTGCATATGAAATTTCTACGGACATTACGGTCGTATTATGATGTCACACTCTCCGCATACGTACGAATGGAAGTCAATGGAAAGACAAGTGTAGTGTGACCAGCCATTTATTGCCTGAGCACCTACTTAAGCTTTTGCAAGTCATTCTTCCAGTTTTTAGGTGTCCTTGCTGTAGCAGGTTTTGCAGTTTTTTTTCATGTTTTTTGTTCTCCAGAGGGGTTTTCCTAATAAGCGTGTTGAGCATTGTCACATGGCTTTCTGATACAAGTCAGTTCAACCTCATGCTGAGGGTAAGTAAAATAGTTTTTACATCATTGCATGTTAATCTCTGAACTGAGCAAAATAAGGATGAGTGTTAAAATTCCTTTCCTGATTGGCTTACAAGATCTGCCATTTGACCAATGACTGAGAGCATTCTCATTCTCTGTCTGGTGCTTGCAGTGCTGACATGCAGTCGAATGTGCAATATTTGTCTGCTTAACATATTTAGCATTTCTTTCATTAACATTTTTCTTCTAATTAAGTGAATAAATAAACCTAAAATAAACTATGCTAAATTCAACAAAAATAAAAAACTCACTCTCTACTCTATGTGAGAGAAAATACCTAACATTCAGAGGGTATAATATATTCCCACTGTATATGCCCAAACATGTTAATTCAATCAATTGTTTTACTTTCATTTTTGCTTTTCCCAACAGACAAAAAAAGGTCTGTGATACTCAGACCAAATTAGATAGGACGAGTTTTGTTATTCTTGTCAACTCAACATTCACATGCTGCTGCTAAACAATGTTTCACGGCAGGTGCTAAATTTTATTTGGGCCTCTCCTCCCTGACAGATTTCTATTAAACGTCGCTGACGTCGAAGTGGACGCCATCTTTGTCGAGGGCAGAGCAGCTCTCCATTGAAGAGGAACACGCGCATTGCCGTTGCAGTAACTCAGTCCCTAACAGAAGGGGGTTGATGGTAGTTCGCTTTTGAAATTCGCAGACAGATACTTCATTACTGACGGTCGTCCACCGACTACGGGATCAGGTAAGCTTTATTTAAAGAAGGAGATGAGGAAAAGGATTTGATGCGATTGATTTTTCGTCTTTCTTTTAGATTTGTCTGGCCAAAAAGTGGTTGACTTGAAGTCGCAGCGCAGGCAAGAGCAACAGAGGATGTTTTTTTTTTTTTTTTTAATTAAAGGAAATCCGTAACCTTTCATTTTGCGTATCCTTTTTAATTTAAGCTTGATGCACTGTTCGGAGGATGTCAGATTTTAGGGACACTCTTGTGTGGTTAATGCGGCACGATGTGGGCGGTTTCTGCGTTTCAGCACCCTGGACAGGGACTGCGTTTGCGCCACTGCGTTTCTGTCTTGAATTCACATCCAGCCCCTGCAGCTGAATTACCATTATATGTCTGGCAAAGTTTTGCGCAGAGGCGCCATCTAAATAATGATTGATTTTACCAGATGTTTAAGAGACGCAGATAGGTTTTATAAAAGACTCTGTTGAAGTTACAGCATCAGGCCATTAGTCACTGAAATGACAGTGAAACTAACGCCTGGATGTTTAATTTTGCAGCAGCATTTAATAACCAGATCGGCTCTTACTGCTTTGCCTGCCAGATTCATTTTTCGTCGCTGAATATAAATAAAGTTTTGATGGCATCGGGTGAGGATTTAACGAAAGTGATCAGCGATTGATAGTGGGGGAGGCCAATATGGCAAACTGCGACAGAGTGGTCGAGAATTAATGTGCGTGTTGCAGAGAAAGCAGTGTGGGGAGAGTCAGATGGGATGATGCAGTGATCAAACTTATTTAATGAAACCGATATATTCGGTGTCTGCAGACGTTTATTTGGACCAAATCATCTCAACCTTTGCCGTATGTATCTGATGAGGCAGCGGTAATTATCCGTGCGTGTCTTCCTGGTGGTAGACGATGGGCGGGGGCTTGAGCAAAGACGAGCGGGGGCGGATGCTGGAGATACCCTCACTCACAATGATTCTTTGGGCTCACGTATGACTAGGGATAGAAATCATAATTGCACGGTTCCATGAACGATTCTTTTAATACTTTTGAGGAACATAAATTTGAAAAAAAAAAAAAAGACAGTTTGTTGCTAAATAATATGATCATTTCAGACTTTTAATTATTTACAATTACAATAAGTAGCCTTAACTATTCAAACAAAAATAAAATGGTAACATATTTAATTCATTCATTCTTTATATATAAAATACCACTGATTACAACTGAACTCATAATGTGAAGCTACACATTGTCGTATGAACAACCCGTCAGTAACTACACTAATTTAAGTCTCACGAGACTTAACAACATAACACAATAACAGTTCTTTTGATTAATTGCCAGTCATTCATGACGAAAGTAATAACTTCCTGTTCAGAAACATGTCCGACTGATTTATAATTTGAGTCACATATAACTGACTCATGAGAGTCAGACATGTCGCGTGGTATGGTGTTGATTCAATAAAGAGCCGACTCACATGAATCATTCGATCGGGAACCGATCTACACTTGTACGTTTTTGAATTGCTAAAAAGAACCGGCTCACAAAGTCATTCGTAACCGCTCTACATTCAGTAGCAGTGCCAGAGCATTTTCGTGTTATAACCACATTGGCTTCTGAGAACCGTTAACGTACCGAATGTGACTAAAATAAAAATCGAACTGTTTCCGTTCCAAACCCTACGTGTGATGCAGATTTAACGATGCTCCCAAACCCAGAGCCATCTTCGTCTTATGACACATCCTCACGTGTTAAACACATTCTGGCTCACGGAATGTACTGATTACACAATAGTATTATCGCGAGCGTAAAATCCCTCCATTAACCGGATGTCCGTAACAACCCGAAATATCATCTAACCATCCAGTCAAATAGTACAGTGTGACTTGGGCATGTCAGGATACTGCAGAAGAGCTCTTTTTTCTGTGACGTGCCTTCCTCTTGCACATGCAAATGCTCTAAAGCCACGGTATTGTTACTCATCACGACTGTTTTTGGTCAATCCTTCTGTTAGTAAATGCGCACGCTGTTACTGACGCATATATGAGCAACAGAAAATGATACTTTACTACAATGAGCGCAGTATTGGGTTTCGCTTGTTCTGGACTGTATTCGTCTTGCGGCGGTTGTGAGAGACCGGCTGGCACGCTTCTGTTGTTGAATCTGATGGTTTAATGCGGCTTATCATGACTTGACTGCAGAGCGCAGGGCTGCAGGGATGTTCCCCGAATAAGTGGTGACTCACGCGAGACCAGACCGCGATTCATGATTCTTGAACCTTGATTTATAGATGCCCATTGCTACTTAACACATAAATATACATAATATTTGTACATTCCAAATAATATAACATTTAATGTTAATACAATTTAAACTGTTATCCACATAAACAAACAAAAAGATACAGATAGCATATAGCCTACTTATGGGTTGTTTATGCAAAGTGATTGTGAAAAAAGTCCAGTTTATAGGTTCAGGTTTTATTACATGTATTTGTTGAACTGCACATGTTCACAGATTCCAGTTTTAATAAATGGCTGAGCTCAGTCAGGAGTGGTTCACTTAAATAAATCCTACAAACCAATTAATATGTCATCTGGCAATTGTTTCATCAAATCTTGACAATGACAAAGACAGCGAAGTGCTTTATTATGGTTGCTCCAGTGTCTTAATTAATCACTGTATCAATGAAATGTTGTGATAGATATAATGAAAATGAGAAAATTAGAAAACCAAAGCTTTACCAGTAGCCTATTACGGGAAACTGCAATGTTATTGTCAATTACATGTATAACTATCACCCTACAGTCCTTGATTTCATATTCCTAATTACATATCACCCTTTAACACAAACTTGTTTTAGATTAAAGCACCAGCTGGGTAAAAAATGAGAACTGATTTGCAATTCCCCAAATTAAAAAGAGCAGCCGGTCTTGGGGGGCCACTGAACAGAATCTAGCAAACAATAACATGGGCTGAAGTACAAAATGGCTACTGGATATCTCTGTGACAGTCCTGCACAAGTGCACTTGGTTGAACACTCACAGATTGAAAATATGGACAAATGCGTCACGAGAGCATAAAAGACCGAAAACAGCTATGGATGAAAAGATGAGCAATGGGAAAGAGGGGGGGATAATGTTGGTAGAGAAGAAAAATAGGCAGATAAGGGACGTCAGAAGAGGGCGGCTGAGGATGAGAAGAGAAAAGACAAGATACCCAGAAGAATTAACTTGTATGATGCATAATGACTACAGAAAGAAGCCCCCTCATGGCAAACATCTCAGCCTGTAAGCTCTGCCCACACATGTGGGTTTCCCCTCCACCATCTGCAAATATCAATAATGCTGGAGGTTTCTGAGGGTGGAAAGAGAAGCATCATAAATTAGCATAAGGACTGACACTGTCCTCTCTCTGTGAACAATTTTCAAGAGCTCACAGTGGTTAATAAGTGCAGTCTTAAACTTACTGAATAAAAGTGAGATTAAGCAAAGGATTAAGAGCTAGCTGATGTAGTTTACTGTACATCATACTGGAAGAACTACTGAAAGTGTGTACTGCATTTGACATCTAGTTTATGAAAATGCTCATATAAGCCTTTATATTTGTGGTTGTGGTCATGCAATTGTTTCAAATATGTCAGGATTAAAACAATAATGAGTTTTGGATGATCAAAATGACTTTTCTTACCTGTGCCATTTGTCTTTGGTAGGCATTATCAGATGGACTTGTGAAATTTCATTTTATGCATTTGGCTGCTTTTGCAAGCTGTTAGTGTGAGCAATTTGGACGAATGTTATGGCATCTGTTCTGTTCATCATGCTCATAGCTGCAGTCTGAAGCCATTTTAGAATTGTAGCTCTTTTGGAGTACTGCGAGTTCAGGTAATGACGTTTTCTACAGTGTGGCGCATATATAAGACATATAGTGTATATGAAGGCACAGACAGATGAGATCATGCAGATGATTAATTCTTTCTCAGTTTACATGCAAAGATTATAGGCAGTCTGATTCCATTAAAGTGGAATCGCATTTCAGTATTAAGTAGCATGCTATAGTAAACACTACTTGGAAATTCAATATTAGCCTTTGCTTCATGTTTACATATTTCTTTTCAGGATTATTTGACTGTTGACCCATGCTTGAGATGCCAAACAGTCATTTGATAATAATACACACTGGCTCATTTAAGTAATAGGATGGAGAAAGACAAATTTGCTATAGTTAAAGTATTAACGCTTGTATTTTCTCTCTTTGCTCGTCAATCACTGATTTTTACACTTCACTTTCACTTTTTATTGTCTACAGTTTATGTGAATGTAGCTGAGCTAATGAAGCACTCTGTATTCACATAGAAGATATTTTGTGGCATTCACGATTATACATATTCCAAAAAATTGAAAATGGACAATTTAGACTGTCTTGAAGTAAATATACATTGTATTATTATTATTTGTTAATTTTTTAGCACTTTTCATTATGCTCCAATTAAGGTACTTCTCATTATGCTATTCATTATGTTGCAAAGAAGATTTAAAATTAACAATGCCCTGCAAAGCCAGCATTGTAAAATATTTATTTTATCTTTAAACCATGATACATTTACTTGAGATGCAAAATAGCATGGCATATTAAGACTTGTTGTCAAATATGATATCTCAGTTAATTTTTGTACCCTATTGGAATTTTATGAATTTACTTTGAGCATATGTATAACAAAATTTATGCTTAAACAAGAAAAATAATTTACTAATGAGGTAAGAAAAATAAATTAGATAGCGTAAATGTATGAATAGGATAGATATCTTACATGTATGTTCAAGGATGTGTAGATCTATAAAATAAATAGATTGAATCGTAATCAATCAGTTACTGGTGCTTTCAAAAAGAAATCTGAAAATGCATCATTTAATTGAATGGTTTATTTAATACAGCTTTAATTCCTTTAGCTAAATGCACCTCTAGGAAATAAGAAAATAAATCTGTTAGCCATGATTCTGTTGAGCAAAG